ACTCCGGCGTTAACCTATGCTGCCATCTTGGTTCTCCTATATTGTCAAATTTAACTGAAAGCCTTTCTAGTCAAATGTAGTTTTTAGACAACTAAGAACTAACAATCTGCACTTTATGTGTTGTTTTGATAATAATAAAAGAGAGTGTGGCTTTGTAAAATTGGATGCCCTACTTAGTAATGGCGAAGCCAGAACAGATATTTAAGGAAGATGAGGTAGAAAGTTAAGGGTCGAATGCAGGTGAGAATGGGCAAAATAGTAAGCTTTGGTTTAAAACACATATACAATATATAGAGAGCGAGACAGCATATTGCTGATTAGCGAGTGAAGAAAAAGAGTGAACAAAAATGAGCTTAGAGTAATTCTTTTCTGGTTACGTTCCGATAGGCATATGATTCATACTTTGGCACACATGCTATACAATCAAGCCCTTGCTGAGATGCTGAGCCGCTGACCAGATAGCTAGCTGGGTCCATAATGGAAACAAATGAATGTTTTGGCGAGGATTGCAGGACACAACAGACAGGAAAATAAAATCCCATTACCTCTAATCCAAGCAGCATGCTGTTGCCTCCCTGTTTAGAGACGGATGTAAAAGTTCTCATTTCAGGTATTGTGTTGGGCCCTTGTGTCCCGGTGAACGATGCCACAGTGCAGAACAAGGAGCAGCTCCTGACTTTGAACTTGCCTCCCAAGGCCAGTGGGCTGTGCCCTGCCTTGGCTCACTCCTAGTAGCCTCCCTGCCTTAATGTTGTCTAGTGACTGCAGCTCTTTCCTGCATCTGGCTTAATGTGCTTCACTGTGTCATTTATGGGAGAAATATGCTTATTTAAATAATAAACATATCTATCTCTTATTAAATGGGATAAAAATGAAAAGACTTAAAAAAGAATGTATAAATGGTAGTATAAGCCAAATGCAGCCATATTTTAACTTGCACTGGTGGTTCTTTTCTATCTCTATCCTGTGGAGGAATGTAATTGTAAAACAGCCTCAGAAATTTATGGTTCAGTACAAATCACACAAAGGCCAAGTAAAAATTGAGTTTTTCTTTAATCATAAAAGGCAACTATTATAGGTACATGAAAATAATGAAGCTATATTTCTTTTTTTTAAAAAAAGCTGACATAGTTAAGAGTATATAATTTCATGTTTCCTAACATCCCTATGAACTAACGTAAGAGACATTTTCCAGATAAATATGAATTTGCAGAAAGGATAACAAATAGCTTCTCATAGCAGAGTTTTTAAAATTTTTGAACTTGGACATCATCCTTGGCCATGGCTTCTCTGGCTGTGGACTTCAAATCCTTGTAAATGCAGAGTTCTCCAAAGAATAGATGATTGCGACAATATGACAAACATGTTCTAGTGCTCATTTTGTTCAATATCTGATCGTTTATTTACTCATATACATGCAGTTGCTTTGCTGATATTAATTAAAAAAAGCAGCACATTTTAAATGCAGTTTCACAATACTCCTGGTTCATCTGAACGGTCTCTAATCATTGACGTGGAAACCTGCAAATGGTCTGACTGGCTCCAAGTGCTGGCACAGCTCAGTTCCTTGGCTGCAGTGAGTGAATGAGTGATCCTTTCTCAGAACAACCCCATGCCTTTGATATTTAGAAGTAAAAAGATTACAGTCCAATAAGGCAGAGTGGAAACGATAATGACAATATCAGGTGGAGACAGGCAGACATGTTTCTGAAAGAAATCTGTGAGAAAGCCTGGAGTTGTTTATCTCTCCCTCATTAATCTTTTGCAACATTAGTCATTTAATTCAATTGATGGAAGCGGTTTTTGCAAAACCTGATATGTAATTATTTTGTAAAAGATCTAGGTAGCTTCTAGGAAGATGTGGGGAATCAAAAGCCTCTTATTCATTTTAATATTTAATCAGGATAAAATACCACAGTTTTAGAAAGCCTAGGCTCTTATTCATGAACTCTATAAAATTTTAAAGAGAAGCATTTGAAGCCATTGATCTTGCCATAAAGCTATCATCGTTTTCCAACCCTTCTTCTGCTAGTCTCCATCTCAGAACATGGCAGTGCCCGTCAGAGCTGCCCAGGCCTCCTCTGCACACCCAGGGCACGCCACTCAGGGCCTGCAGTGGGAATAAACCCAGTGCACTCGTGGCAGCTCTGGTGAAAAGCATGACTTCATTTTTCCTGCTAGTTAGACCCAAAGTCTTGGTGGCATGGTTGACCTTACTCTTTGTCCCACTCTCCTTACTAAATTTGTGGCATGTCTTGATAGCAATTCCTTCATAGTTCATCCAAAATTCATCCTCCTGTTCTATTTTCACCTCCTACACTTGCCACTCTAGTGTAGTCCCAGCAACCCATCTCTTACCTGGACACACGAGATGCTGTCTTAACTCCTTTCTCTCTTACCCCTTGGCCCTGCAGTCTCGATCACACAGCAGCCTGTGGGATCTTTTTCATATGTGAGGGCACTTCTTTCCTCTGTTCAAAACCCTCTAAAATCTTCCCCTTATGACTTGGAATAAAATGCAAAGTCATTGCAATAGCTTTCAGGGAACGCGTGCTCCCTGGGACCTGCCGCCACCACTCCCATCTCCTCTGACACCTTTATTTACTCCTGCTCCAGCCTTTTAATTCCGAAAAACACCAAAAGGCAATTCAGTCAAGGCTGCATGACAAATCACCTCAAAATGTAGTGGTTTAAAACAACTACCTTTCTTATTTCTCACAAGATGCCTATGGATCAACTCAGTGGTTCCACTAATCTGGGTGGTACTCTTCTGATCTCAATGGGGCTCACTCATGTGCCAGGTGAAGTGGGTAAGGGCTAGCGGGTCCAGGATGATCTCTGTTGGAAGGAGAGTAACTCTCCACATCTCTCTCATATCTGCAGCAGACCAGCAGGGTACATTCTCGTGGCAAGGGCAGGGGCCCTGCAAGGAGGTGGAAATGTGCAAGCACTTTTTGAGGCTCCTTTTTCCTTCATGTTTGTTGTTATCTTCTTTTGCAATATTACTGAGCCACGAGTTAAAGTGGAAGAGGATGGTCAAGTGAAAAAGTAAAAAGTGTGGATACAGGAGGACATTGATTGGAGGCCATGACTGCAATTGATCCTCCACAGATAAAAAGCACCAGGGGAGAGTGTTTGACTTCAAGACAAAGTATAAAGGAAGACAGTGCAAGGAAGGAAATCGGTGAAGAAACAAATCAAATGAAGGATGGTAGGAAAGGGAAAGGATAAGGAAAAGTGATAGGAAAGGTGGAATGGAAAATCTGAACATAAGGGGAAGAGATACTATACTAGGAGGTGTGCAGCAACCAAGCCATGTGCGCTGGAAAACAAACTCTGGGGAAAAAATAATATTCATAATAACAGTAAGATTTTTTAATTGCTAGCAATAAAAACTCAAGGTCTGCTTTGAGTTTGGGTGGTGAGGGGAAGACTTGACTTGGGGTGGTGAACACATAATACAATATACAGATGACGTATTATAGAATTGTATACCTGAAGCTATATAATTTTATTAACCAATGTCACCCCAACAAATTCAATACAAATTAAATAATAAAAAGAAAATGATTTGCAACAAAAAAAGAAGGAAAGAAATACACTAATTATCACAGAATTATCTGGGAAAATACTTCACACCTAGCAGAAGAAAGCTGCACTCATAGATGTTGCGGGATGAAGGCAAGTGGCAAATGCCAGTAGTGAAGCTTTAATACTTACTCTAGGCAGGCATCTGTAAATAATACTGCTTAAAAATTATGACTTTGTCCTATTAGGATATACAAAGTATAACCTGAATTTGCATTTTTTTCTATGCTTATCCATCCTTTGTCTTTTCGTCTTTAACTGCAATCTGTCTTAAATGTAAATTACATTTATAGCAGTACTCCTCCACATGGAGTATAAAACTGAGTAAACTGAGTATAATGCCCATTAAGAAAAGGGATTCATATATTGATATTGAATATAGGTTGGTAAATAACTAAATAAAGTATATCAAAGTTTAATTTAGTAAATGCACTCTTAGAAACAGAAATTGTGGTTTGTTTTGTTTTTGTTGTCCAAATATCAGAATAATTTTTAATGCTGGACATACTGATATAAAATTGGAATATACCATTGTTGGAGAAAGGATTGATTTGGTACGTAAAGGGAAAATCTCATCTTCCATTTATATGTTTCAAAATAATTTCAGAAACATTAAAATTTTCTCTTAATTGGTCAATTTTAACTAAATAGTCCTTTTAAATATTATGATGCCAGGGGCAAAAATGAGCATGACAGCTCTTATTATACCATCTTCTCTCCAGTTTATTTTTTCCCTTCTTATTGCTATACCATTTGTTAAGGTTTATATAACAACTAGAGGCCTGGTGCACAAAAATTTGTGCACTTGGGGGGGAGAGGGGGTCCCTCAGCCCGCCTCCCTGTTCGTGTCAGCTGCCTGGCTGCTGGCCGCCATCTTGGTCAGCAGTTAATTTGCATATCTCCCTGATTAGCCAATGGGAAGGGTAGCGGAGGTACGGCTAATTACCATGTTTCTCTTTTATTAGATAGGATGTCTGATCTAATATTTTCTTTAATGAATTATTTACAGATGGCCGACAACCTATTTATTCTACTTAAAGATTTTTGGGGTGCATTTATTTTTCTCTTTTTGTTTCTAGTCCTTTTATTTCTTGAATATGGTTTCATTCCCATTTTTATTCCTATAAAAATGATAATAAAGTTAGTAATCATTATTATCTAGACTCTTCTCTAAGTCTAGTAAAAAATAGAGTTCAATAGTCTGTCTCATTTATAATGCTGTATTTTATTTAGTATATTCTCAATGTGTCTTTATTTTTTAAACTGTAAATATTAGGAATGTTTGTCATATTCAGATTTGTGTTCCAGTTGTTCTCTCGTTAGTTCTTCATCTCCATCACCTGATTTTATTTATTAAGCAAGGTGTAATCAAATTCTAACTAACATGTAGCAATCTGCTTTTGCTTTTTCAGATTCCTGTTTTGGTCACGCAGATAAGTTCAACCAATCACCCAGTGAAAGTGGGGCTGTCTGATGCATTTGTCGTTGTCCACAGGATCCAACAAATTCCCAGTATGTAGAAGAAGGGTAATTGCAAAGTCTGAACCTGCTGTGGGGGTAAATGTAAAAGAAATTGATTTGGGCAGACGTTAACTCTTTGAACAATAGAATTACTTAGATAAGTGCTGTTTGTTAATTATATTGTTTGGTTTATAACTTTTACTGAGGTTCTCTCTCTCTCTCTCACTAATAATTTAGGTAAAGTAAAATTAAATAATCAAGGCAAGCCTGCATATTTTGAATTCTTTGGGATGGTTAGCTTGGTTGTGCAGATATATTTCTTTTTTTAATAATAAGAAAAACATTAAAGAAAGACATTATTTGACTAAAAGGTGTATGATAGGTGTACATTTATCAGCAAAAGAGAAGCTCTGTGTCATTTTATGTTTAACATAAATATAAATTTAGGTAAATAAAAATTTTGATGGAATTATATCTATTAGAGAAGATACATATTTTCTCTTCTAAATTAGTTTTGCCTATCTAGTCAACTTTGCATTTTGTAGAATAAAAACATATGTGCTATTTTGGGCAGCTGTTCATCATATTAGAAGTTCAAAATGTAAGTGCTATTTGTAGTAGTCTGATGCTGTAACTAGCCATCATCTGAAAACTCCTGTTTTTTTAAACCTCCTCTATTTTAAGAACAGTCCTCAGGAATGCTTGGGTATGTTCATACTAAAAGTGTCTGCTTGTTCATTTGTGTCCTAGATGTGCTTATATAAAGCAAGAGATGATAATAAAATACATCTCAAGATTAGGTCATTTATTTTCCTTTTATTTAAAGTTCTTTTTCTTCTTTTATTTTATGACTAGAGGCCTGGCACATGAAATTCGTGTACAGGTATGGTCCTTAGGCCTGGCGCAATCAGGGCCATCTTCCCCGGCTGCCTGCAGTCAGCCCTGCCCCCAGCCACTGCCCACCCCTGGTTCCCCATTCACCATTGGGCTATAGGAGCCTGCCGGCCTGGGGGACAGATTGAGAGGTTGGACGTTCCCACCCACTCGCCGGCCCCGCCACCGCCACAGGTCACCCTCTATGTGTGGGGTGACCAGCGAGGCGGGGGCCTTGGCCTGGCACTGTGTGCATCCCCCACTACCTATCCTTGGTTCCCCATTTGCCGAAGATACATATTTTCTCTTCTAAATTAGTTTTGCCTATCTAGTCAACTTTGCATTTTGTAGAATAAAAACATATGTGCTATTTTGGGCAGCTGTTCATCATATTAGAAGTTCAAAATGTAAGTGCTATTTGTAGTAGTCTGATGCTGTAACTAGCCATCATCTGAAAACTTCTGTTTTTTAAACCTCCTCTATTTTAAGAACAGTCCTCAGGAATGCTTGGGTATGTTCATACTAAAAGTGTCTGCTTGTTCATTTGTGTCCTAGATGTGCTTATATAAAGCAAGAGATGATAATAAAATACATCTCAAGATTAGGTCATTTATTTTCCTTTTATTTAAAGTTCTTTTTCTTCTTTTATTTTATGACTAGAGGCCTGGCACATGAAATTCGTGTACAGGTACGGTCCTTAGGCCTGGCCTGCAATCAGGGCCATCTTCCCCGGCTGCCTGCAGTCAGCCCTGCCCCCAGCCACTGCCCACCCCTGGTTCCCCATTTGCCATTGGGCGATAGGACCCTGCCGGTCTGGGGGACAGACTGAGAGGTTGGCCGTTCCTGCCCTCTCTCCGGCCCCACCCCTGCCCCCGCCACAGGTCACCCTCTGTGTGTGGGGTGACCAGCGAGGCGGGGGCCTTGGCCTGGCACTGTGTGCATCCCCCACTACCTACCCTTGGTTCCCCATTTGCCATCAGGTGATGGGAGCCTGCCGGCCAGGGAAAGGGACCAAGAGGTGGTCAGTGCACCTCATAGTGACTGGCCGTGTGATTGTTCTAGTCATTCCACCGTTAGAGACAATTTGCATATTATCCTTTTATTATATAGGACTAGAGGCCCAATGCACAAATTTGTGCAAGAGTAGGCCTTCCTCCCACCAGCTGCTGGCACCAGCATCCCTCTGGCCATCAGCAGGCATCCAGGACCCAGGCTTCCCTCGCAGCCCGGCTTCATCCAGAAGGTTGTCCAGAGGGATGTCCGGAATGACGTATGGTCTAATTAGCATATTATGCTTTTATTATTATAGATAGTGGTAGACTTAAATTATCACATGCATCTATGCTGTTTGGTCTTAACATGAGCTGATTCTCTTTAATTATGCTATCTCTCACTAATATAAAGTAAATGGAGTGGAAATTAGATTTTTCAGAGCAGTGTGTAAGCTGGATACATCACAGGGTTTATTTTACGAATAGAGTTTAGAATGACATTCATATATGGCAGTTCTGCATGGGAAAGAGCATGAATTGTGGCAGTTTCTCCATGTTAGCTCAGAACTTGTGGGAGGTGGTATTCAAGGGAACTGTCAAATCAAGGCAGATTTTCCAGAAACAAAACTGTACTGTGAACAAAGCAAGGATGTATTAGCACATGTAGGCAACAGGGAGACCTTCTGACTGAACTCTTAAGTCAGAAGCTGAGTCTGGGAAAGCCAACCTGACTCCTGTTGGAGAAGGACTGTTCTCTCATTCTTTCTTTCAGAAGGGTTAAATAAAGCATGACTCCAGTCAATTGTTGCACGAGTAAAAGGAAACACTAGTTTTAGTTTATTTGTGGTTTCTTTTCACCCCAGAAAGAATTTTATTTGAAGCTTCTTCAGAAGCTCGCTTCCAGCTGCCTGGCTGCCGGCCGCCATCTTGGCTGACAGTTAATTTGCATAAGGATATGCTGATTAGCCAATGGGAAGGGTAGTGGTCGTACGCCAATTACCATGTTTCTCTTTTATTAGCATAGATAGTGGTAGACTTAAATTATCACATGCATCTATGCTGTTTGGTTTTAACGTGAGCTGATTCTCCTTAATTATTCACTAATATAAAGTAAATGGAGTGGAAATTAGATTTTTCAGAGCAGTGTGTAAGCTGGATACATCACAGGGTTTATTTTACGAATAGAGTTTAGAATGACATTCATATATGGTAGTTCTGCGTGGGAAAGAGCATGAATTGTGGCAGTTTCTCCATGTTAGCTCAGAACTTGTGGGAGGTGGTATTCAAGGGAACTGTCAAATCAAGGCATATTTTCCAGAAACAAAACTGTACTGTGAACAAAGCAAGGATGTATTAGCACATGTAGGCAACAGGGAGACCTTCTGACTGAACTCTTAAGTCAGAAGCTGAGTCCGGGAAAGCCAACCTTGACTCCTGTTGGAGGAGGACTGTTCTCTCATTCTTTCTTTCAGAAGGGTTAAATAAAGCATGACTCCAGTCAATTGTTGCAGAGTAAAAGGAAACACTAGTTTTAGTTTATTTGTGGTTTCTTTTCACCCCAGAAAGAATTTTATTTGAAGCTTCTCCAGAAGCCATCTTAGATCACACATGTTCTGATATATTATAGTGTAGAGAAAAATACCCTTCAAAGTGAAAAAGAAATATTTTACAATTTTAATAATGTAGTACTCAAGTTTGTGTGAGAACCTAGACATGATAAAATTGTACTTAAATAAATTATTAATTTGTCTCCAAATGCAAATTTGCATCCCTTGTCCTATATAATAAAGAGGTAATATGCAAATTGACTGTCACATCCTCGCACAAAATGGCCACCCCCATGTGGTCACAAGATGGCCATCAGGGGAGGGCAGTTGTGGGTAATCAGGCCAGCAGAGGAGGGTAGTTGGGGGCAACCAGGCCTGCAGGGGAGGGCAGTTTGGGGCAACCAGGCCTGCAGGGGAGGGCAGTTGGGGGCAATCGGGCCAGCAGGGGAGAAGTTAGGGGTGATTGGGCTGGCAGGGGAGTGGTTAGGGGCAATCAGGCAGCGAGGCTGGCGAGTGGTTGAGAGCCAGCAATCCCGGATTGTGAGGGGGATGTCCGACTGCCGGTTTAGGCCTGATCTCTGTGGGATTGGGCCTAAACTGGCAGTTGGACATCTCCCAAGGGGTGCCAGATTGGAGAGAGTACAGGCTGGTCTGAGGGAAAAAAAAACCCTCCAGTGCACGAATTTTGTGCACTGGGCCTCTAGTTATAATATAATAGGTTAATTATTATGTTTTTTGGGATAAAAATATTCTTCCCAAATATAAATTTTATTGAACAAATTAGCAAAACTCATGAATTTTTAGAGCATATTATGTCTCAAGTTTGGGACTCTGCATTCATCTAAAAAAATTACTCAAGCTTTGCTTTCAAAGAAAAGCTTCCCTCAGGCAAGCTGATGCTGGAGCAACATTCACATTTTTGTTGACTTCACTGAGAAAATTAGCCAAAAAAGGGATGAAAGTTCTGAGTTTCTAATCCACTTATACCTGCCTTTAGATGGGACCATATTTCAGCAAACATACTGGAATAAATGTGTCCTACTTTAAAATCTTTTTGGGAATATAAAACTGTTAAATCTCCTCTGAAATCTGTTCCCACATTGATAAAGTGTAACAGTGTCTGTTACATGAACTTCTGTATAAGGAGAGAGATATGGTTGCATTGTAGTCTCAGCTTTAAAAAAAACAACATAGTGTACTTATTTACAGCAGAGATTCGGCTAACCCAAGATTAGCGTAATACAAGTTATGCAGGTATTATTTTTCCTGAGAAAATAAGATGATTCCTAGAGAACTGTTTGTTACTTATTTGTGCAATCAGAATTTAGATAAATATTTAAGTCATTTTCAAAATTATGTTCCCTTATTTAACAGCCTAGTTATTAGGAGTTTTCCTCATAGGGAATTTAAAATATCCATCTCTGTTACCTCTTTTCTTCTCCTGAGTGAATTTAGGGGAAAACTGATCATTATCCTCAATAATAGGCAGTTTCATTTCTTCTGCATTTCATGGTCCATTACATAAGACTTGGTTCTCATAAGATCAATTTTCTGTTCTTTTACTCATTTTGGTTACATAGGATATAGAATCTAGATCCTTGGCTTAATCTAGCCATGGCAACATGGGAATACGAGTTAC